GCAGGATCGCCACCATGCTCGCCACAAATGCCCATCTTCATGTCTGGCCTGGTGCTGCGACCACGCTGAACTGCCATGGTGATAAGTTCACCCACGCCATCTGGATCAAGGCTGACGAAGGGATCTTGTTCCACAATGCCCTTGGCCTTGTACTCTGGCAAGAAGGATCCTGCATCATCGCGGCTCAATCCATAGGTGGTCTGTGTCAAGTCATTGGTGCCGAAGCTGAAGAACTCCGCCATTTCTGCCAACTTTCCTGCCTGCAAAGCTGCACGAGGAAGCTCAATCATTGTGCCTACCTTGTAAGTGAATGTGATGCCCTGCTCCTTCTTCACAGCATCGGCAGTCTTCTCGATCACTCCCTTCAGCAACTTGAGTTCCTCGGTTGTTGCGACCAAAGGCACCATAACCTCCGCCACTGGCTGCTTTTTGGAGCTTCGGCCAACTTCAGCCGCTGCTTCAAAAATGGCTCGTGCCTGCATCTCGCAAATCTCTGGGTAGGTGATGGCCAATCGGCAACCACGGTGACCAAGCATCGGGTTTGCCTCCTGTAGCTCTGCAGCACGTCTGCGCACACGGTCCAACGGAACACCGGCTGCTTTGGCTACTGATGCCATTTCTGCTTCCGTGTGAGGGATGAATTCATGCAAAGGAGGATCCAGCAAGCGCACGGTGACTGGCATTCCATCCATGATTTTGAACAACTCGATGATGTCTTCCCTCTGCATGACCAGCAACTTCTCCAGGGCCTGGCGCCGATCATTTTCGTCCGTGGCCAAGATCATCTGCCTCATTGCCACAATTCGCTGCCCGTCAAAGAACATGTGCTCAGTGCGGACAAGACCAATGCCCTCTGCACCGAACTCTTTGGCTTGTCGAGCATCTGCTGGAGTCTCCGCGTTCGCTCGGACCTTAGAATCAATCAACATGCACTTGGAAAAGCGCATCTGGTATTGATGAAACTGCCTTCGCCCTGCGATGATACTGCGCAAATATATATATATATATATATCATCGCAGCTCAGCTTGGTGCTTTCATGTCGCGGACTTCGTCTGCCCATTCCATGATGATTCCAAAGGATCCTGACAGTTGGGGTGGCACAGTGGGAACTTCCCCGACCATTACCTCTCCAGTGCTTCCGTCAATGGTGAGGATCTGCCCTTCAGTCACTGTCACAGAGCCCACAGTAAGCTTGGCAGCAGCATAATCCACGGTGATTCCACCAGCACCAGCCACACACGGTCGGCCCATTCCGCGGGCAACAACAGCAGCATGGCTGGTCATGCCACCTCCAATGCGAGACTGTCTATACGTCTAGCCTTGTGAATGAATACCCAAGGCAAAACAAATTTCAACGCTGCTATCTCTCTTGATCCCATATTATCTCCGTCTGCCCGAAAAAAAGAAACCGAAACTCTCTACAGTACATCTTCAAATCAACACCGTTTCGCCATATGCCTCTCGTGGTGAGGACTCCCTCCGCTGCATGCAAGCCATGAATGTCATCCGGGCTGGTCTCAATGCGAACCAGGATGACCTTGTCCCCATCCTTCGACCTTCGCACAGCTTCATCAGCAGAGAACACAACCTTGCCACCCGCAGCACCCGGAGAAGCAGGGAGGCCCTTGGCAATGACCTCCTTCTTTGCCTTAGGGTCTAGTGTCGGGTGCAGAAGCTGGTCAATCAAGTCAGGCTTCAAGCTCATCAAGGCTTGCGACTTGG